GTGCGCATCCACGATCTCAATCAAAAACGTTACAATCTCCACATTCTTATACTGATTGTTTATAACAGACTGTTCTGCCATAAATAGAAGATTCAGGAAAAAAATAGCAGATCATTAGTTCTAAATGTTTGTATTTTCCCTGTGTTAACGACTCAAACTGACTGTTTCCTATCAAAATATGTGACTTCTAAGAGGATCGGTGTTGACATTTAGTCACAAGTTTGTATTAAGTTTGAAGAATGGCTAACAATCGAATCCAGGATGGTTGGTTTGTCTTGTTTGGGACTCGCCAGATGGATCTACTTGGATTCCAGTGATTACATTCACACTGAAACTCGAAATCAATCTCCTTCAATTCAAACGTCAGTACATTTTTACTAAGCTGCTGAGTCAATATTCACACCAAGAAAATCTACACCCTGTTTAATAAAATTCATACTCGTTGCTCATGCACGTATCTATCTGATCTTAGCAGCTCTCTAGCGTTTAAAGTGAAAGGTAATGGTTTTGATTATCTGTGTAAATCTTGACACTGGAGTCCATATACATTCAGCTGATGAGTCGCAGACAGGACAACTCTCTCCTCCTGGATTCCACTCTTTACCAGTACCCAACTTCAGCAATAAGTAATATTACTTACTTACTTACTTACGCCTGTTACTCCTCGTGAAGGAACATAGGCTGCTCACCAGCATTCTCCATCCAACCCTGTCCTGGGCAATCCTTTCTAGCTCCGTCCAGTTGTAATTCATCGTTTTCATATCTGCTTCTATTATCCGACGCAATGTGTTCTTTGGCCTTCCTCTTTTTCGCTTCCCTTCAGGATTCCAAGTTAGGGCTTGCTTCGTGATGCAGTTTGACGATTTGCGTAATGTATGTCCTATCCATTTCCATCGTCTTTTCCTAATTGCTTCTTTGGCTGGAAGCTGGTTTGTTATCTCGCAGAGAAGGCTGTTGCTGATGGTATCCGGCCAATGGATGTTGAGTATCTTGCGAAGACAGCTATTTATAAATACTTGTACTTTCTTGATTGTGGTTGTTGTAGTTCTCCAAGTTTCAGCTCCATACAGTAGAACTGCCTTGACGTTCGTATTGAAGATTCTCACTTTGATATTGGTTGAAGGTTGTTTTGAGTTCCATATGTTCTTCAACTGTAGGAATGCTGTCCTTGCTTTGCCGATCCTCCTTGTTCATCGATGATGCTTCCCAGGTATGTGAAGGACTCTACATCTTCCAGAGTTTCGCCACCAAGTGTGATTGGATTACTGTTCTACGTGTTGTATTTGAGGACATTGGTTTTCCCCTTGTGTATTCCGTGACCTACTGATGCAGAGACTGCTGCTTCACTGGCTGTCTTCATCTGCATTTGTTCGTGTGTATCGGACAGAAGGGCTAGGTCATCTGCGAAGTTAAAATCGTCTAATTGATTTTGAGCTGTCCATTGTATTCCGTGTTTTCCTTCAGATGTCGAGGTCTTCATAATCCAGTCGACCACCAGAAGAAAGAGGAAGGGAGAGAGTAGACAGCCTTGTCTGACTTCGGTGCTTACTTGGAATGCGTCTGTCAGCTATCCTCCATGCATGACCTTGCACTGTAGTCCGTCGTATGAGTTCCGGATAGTGTTGACAATCTCCTCAGAAACTCCGTAGTGTCACAGAAGTTTCCATAACGTTCTCCAATCCACACTGTCAAATGCCTTTTCATAATCAATGAAGTTGATGTATAGTGATGAGTTCCACTCAATTGATTGTTCGACGATGATCCGTAGTGTTGCAATTTGGTCTGTGTACGACCGATCCTTACGGAATCCAGCTTGTTGATCTTGAAGTTGGTCATCTACTGCATCCTTCATCCGGTTCAGCAACAATCTGTTGAAGACTTTCCCTGGTATTGACAGTAGTGTAATGCCTCTGTAGTTTTCACATTTGCTCAAATCTCCTTTTCTTGGCATCTTAATGAATTCTCCTTCTTTTCAGTCCGTCTGCACTTGTTCCTCCTCCCAAATCTTTTTGAATAGAAGGTGAAGCATGTTTGTAGTTACTTCGATGTCTTACTTCAGTGCTTCAGCTAGTATGTTGTCGGGTCCTGCTGCTTTCCCGTTCTTGATTTGTCTGACGGCCATTCTGATTTCATACTTTAACATACTTTAACATTGTAGTTTTATATATCGTGTGTTCATTGTTTTCCTAATCGATGACATTAGAGGACAGCGTAAATCATAGAAAGCTAATAGACCGAGATCATAGATTGAACATAACTATCGTAAAGCATCCAAATGAAGTCTACAAAATTGTGTTCTTAAAGAAAGTGTTTTGTGATAGCTGATATCAGTGAGAGTGAATCTACCTATCTAAGATTCATGTAGCCATGAGCAAAACTTTCAAATGTTATTCTGTTAGCAAGCTAGCTCAAAAGAATGGGTTATGAAGACCAACTGGACGACAAAAATGTTTTCCAGATTAAATTCAAATAAGAACAATCAATCGGAAAATGAATCTCAGTTCAGATAATACCAGTAGTCCACATGTTAACCTTAATATAAAAAGGACGTTAGGTGAAGTAATGTCATTTATCTGATATTAAAGAGATTGTGAAAACACAATTTAACTTGTAATATATATATATATATATATATATATATATATATATATATATATATATATATATATATATATATATATACATTTTATTGATGTGGGTTTTGTGAGATTAATTTAGTTTTTAAATTGTACTTCCTTATGGAATAACCTCATCTAAGCCTCCATTAAATACGAAGGAGCATATGACAGCTATCTCGTTCTAATAAAAGACTTCTTAGCATCACATATCTAAGATCAGAGATTCAGAGACCTTTGTGAGAATTTAACAATCACAGTACCCGTTCGGACTGAAAAAATGGTTTCTTTTTCCAAGTTTTCTTATTGTAAAGAGACAACATTTAATAGAAAAGTTTGAGACATTTATTCAATAAACTTTGAAAAGTATCTAGTTACCCGTCGATGGTTGTGCAATATTATGGATTGATTTAAGTCAAAAACGTGAACCATTAGGCATCAACTCAGTGATTGACGTCGTTTCTCACTGCTGGTGAGTCCCGTATTGAGACCAGTTGACTGTTCGTCGGTCCTTAATTTTCAATAAGTCTTTAACTAAGTTCAGTTCATGTATTTATTGGCTGCACTTCAAAAATTCTAGTGCACATCATATTTTTCATACGAAGAATATCTTTCTGCTAAATTTTAATTATCATGATGTACAGATTAGTTATACATTATCTAGATAGTAAAACATGACACATTTATTTATTACATTGATTAAATAAGTAATTGCAATTATCTTCTTGTAGACTATAAACCTTAATCTTACTCAGTAACATTTATGAGTGGTATATTGAGGCTTATTCAAATTATTTGTAAAAATAATATTTGAAATAATAATGTTTAACAAACATTATATATTATTTGATAATTTTCATTTTGATAATTACTCTGAAGAAGTCCAAATAAGTTTGCTAGATGAAACGCTGGAATCATTTCAGTTTCAATTTTTGAGATCATATCAAATATTAGTTTCATAAATGATGTCTTCCCTGTATTCGGCGCTCCATTTCTGTCAAACTGTTTATTGAGTTTTACTGGTATTGTAGTGAACGAGAGCAACAGTAAGGACAATCTACTGTATTTTAATACAAAATTACTAAATCTCTTAGTAAAATCCGAGAACCATACAGTAAATACCTCATTTGTAAAATGTCAATCGATTGTCTCAGACTTGATTGTTCTTTCATTTTCACACAAATCGTTCTCTATTCTCGTCCTCATCCCTTCTATCTTCTTAACCTTCTGTCGCCGGGCATTTCACACTCGGCTGACGATGCATACTACTTATATCTATAGACATCTGTAGCACACACCACACTATGTGGATTCATACTTAGTACCTTCAACTATTTCAGTCAGATATTAGTGTTAGATTATTAAGTCAAAATTCCATAATTCATTCTAAAGATTTCGAATACATCTTGCTGATAAGGTTACCTAGCGTAAAGTTTATGTCTACGATTTACTGCTGACTACCATCAACCATTTAACAAAACATATCATCATTATCGTAATCACTAGAGTTCATCCGAACGAACATCTCTGAGTCTTGATCAAAAGTCAAGAATTGAATGTTTCCGCCATTTGAGGTAATGCAAATAATCAAAATTGGAGATTACAGATCATGAATGATATGGCTCGTAATGATTAGCAATGGCTCAATTAGACTCATTCCCTATGTTTCAACAAATATATATATTCTATACTTTAATTCCACGATTTCACTTGTTATTATTATGCTATATTATGATGTGATGAGTGGAAACGAGGACCCGTTACTCACTTATACCATTCCCTACACTACATACAGTCGAGTGATTGAGTGATTAAACGAGAATCATGTATCAGTGAATTCAAGTATTTCGTGGTCTGGTACATAGATATTGTATTGATGAAAACATGAGATGTTTATATCATGTTAAAAATCAGTTGACATTAGAACAAAAGTGAAAAATTAGGTATTTTATCGATGACCGAAATGTATCATTTCTTCATCAGAAACTGAAAATACAGAAGTATATATTATGTGAATATTGGTTTGATGATTGTAAACGAGATAATGCTGGTTGCAGAGTATCGTGAATTGATTGAAGCTAGACATATGATTGGATCGCAGTTTGAATGTCTAGGGTTCAAGCGTTCCATGCTTGATCTCCTGTGGTGTGGTTATTTGCGTGAACTTCTGCGCAGTCCCATATTAGGCTAAATCAACTGTCTAGGGGTTTTTGCTTTTGAATGGTGGGTTTCGCTAAGATCGGTCAGTGATTTAAACTATGGATAAATATTGATTTAAAAACATTTAAATTTAAATTATTCAAGTAAAAGGAAAAAAAAGTTTTGTGAATTGATAAATTTGTTTGATAATTGAACTGAACAAATAAATTCATTTCCTATTTACAGATTATCATCCACAGGATTATGGACTACACTTATCCGGAGTAAAAAATCACGATAAAATTATTCGAAAATTCAATAATTTAGCTAATCAACGATTAATGGCTGGTGTTGATGAATTTTTCGACGAACTGGATCATAATAGTACGTTCATTTTAAATAAGCGTTTTGCTTTTTTATACTTGTACTAACCAATGGTCAATAACTGAAACAACTGATTTTGTGTTGAATTGATGAGTTATTAAGTAGAAGAAATTAATTTTTAAATGTATCTGAAGCGGTTACATAGTCGAGTTCGTTGAAGGATCTAATTAGTAATGTGAATTATTTTTTAGTTTAGACGTCTTATCCTGTGTTTTTTTGCAGTGTAAAACTGAATTTCAAAAATAAGTTTTGTAGTCTTTTGAGTGGGTAATCGGTCAGAACATTTTGTTATATTTTACGTGGGGTAGGATTTATTATCATTTTGTAGAAACATTTTAAATGAACAGTTACCATCTATTTCATTTTGAAATCAGCTGTTGATTGTACTGCGATTCAGGTTTTAATGGTCTCGATATGACTGGGACAAAATGATGAGACTTAATAACCTAAGTGACAAAATTTTGCCTTTCAAGAAGCAAACTACTAGGTCTAGCCTGATTGTTTTAATCAACGCTAAAACATCGGTTAATCTGATAAATGAACTACAGTTGAAATGAAACAAATGTTCTAGATTCAACTGCTAAATTATTTATAAAAAAATATACACAACTTACGAATTGGATCTATATACAGACGTGGATTCGAGAAATTGATTAATTCTAGTTTCAAATAAATATGAGAAATTTGTGGAGATTGTTCACTTTTGCATCTTACACAATGAACTAACCTCAGGAAGGAAACTGTAGTAAATCAAGTCTCATGATGAACGCTTAACTTTTGAAAGATGAGTCCCGCAGTTCTAGCTTGAAATTATGGCCAGTTCAGTTCAAGTATGTAGGGTGTAGAGCAGTTGACTGCATGTTCAGATTTTTCTATAGGATCGCGAATTAAAGTTTTAAATGCAAATCATGAAATGTCAAATTAGTAGATTGAAGGTTAAGCTCTCGCTGCGACACATGAAAGTCATGTGTTTGGTCCCCATTTATGTTGTGAACATCCCCTCTAATCAGTCTTACCCCAGAACGAAACTGCTGTTCAGTGCATGGTAGTTCTTAATGACTGTTTAAATAAGATTAATTCGATATGTGAGATATCAACGTAGTCTTACACATTAGTTACAGAAAAATTTAAACGTCTATTAATAGGAAAAAGCAGTCAACTCAAGTTTTATTTTTCAATATTCTTAGCAGACCAGTTCATTTTCATTAAATGCTAAACCAATATATTCTTTTTTATGATCATGCTAACAACATGTATTATATAATAGTTATTAGTAACTGAAAATAAATCTATCCATCTCTCTCTCTCTCTCTCTCTCTCTCTCTATATATATATATATATATATATATATGAACGAAGAAGACTCTTTTCGATAAATTCTCTTCAGGTTATATATAATATATATCCAAATTAATAATCCGAAAAATGGCCAGGTTTAGGCCATAGTGCATCATTTAAAGTTATAACATGTGAATTTAGGATTTTTAAACAAAATAGAATAAAGTTATTAATGTTGATATGACTCACATGAAATGTTATATATCATGGTGTAGAGTCATTTAATAATACTACAATTGCAAAAATAGTTTAATGATTTTAATAGTTGAGATCATATGTCAATTGAAGCTAGGTCACCATGGAAAACCTGAAGGCACTGGGCAGCCGTTCCTTCCTACTGTGGGACTCCTCAGCAGTGGGCATCCACGACCCCTCCTGGCGAGATTCGGGCCGACGACGTATCAGATTGGCGCGCGAGAGTTTAACCACTAGACCACTGAGCCGGCATCCATAGGTCCTGGGTTCGAATCTGGCGAGTCAGGATCGTGGATGGGCACTGCTGAGGAGTCCCATACTAGGACGAAACGGCCGCTCAGTGCTTCCAGGTTTTCCATGATGATGTAGCTTAAACTGACCCATAATCTCAACTATTGAAATTACCATGTTATCCACAAAAGCCCTTCTAAAATTGTCTGATGACTAATTAATTATTTCTAAACTGATTTGTTACCATTAAATCTGCTCTAGATATCGAGTAAAATAGTAGTTGCTCGTTTCGTTCATAGGTTCTATTGACTTCATTTGCCTTAGCATTCAAATTGACCATATGTAAAATAATGGACCAACTGAACATCAACAAAAACGAGTAATTTGAAGGTTTTCTCAAATTGTGTTCATCAATAATTGTATGGACAGTGAGTTAGACATTGAAGGAACTCAAGATATTGAACATATTTTTGGTTTTTATTGACACAAGAGGTTAGAGAGCATATAAGTTTTTAATCCTCCTTTCAGTCTTCAAGGCCCATAGTAAATTACCTGTGTTTTCCCCAAAATATCAATTTATTGTCTTCAATTCATAAAATCTAGGGAGCTGATATCATGTTTCTCGAATAATCTTAATAACCTAGGCAGATTACACACATTTATACCATGTTATTTAAAGCATCAATTTACTGTAAATGATCTATGAATGTGATATTCACAACAGTGATTAAAGTTATTAAATTTGTCTAGGGTGCTTATTCATTTGTTCCTCACTAAAAATTTGAGGGTTCATGTTGGTATTTGAAGTTATTGAGAAATGCCAAAGATTCTAATAATGAATAATTACTTAAAAATCAAATGAAATATTATGTTTTTCAATACCACTTTAATGTTTTTGTTGAGTACATTCATATAATTTATTGATTTTAACTATAATAAAGTTTTACTTCACTATCATGCATGTAACATTTCTAGTAATTTAATTTTAAACTTCAAGTTCACGTTTTAGAGTATGATGACATTTGAACTTAAAATAAGTGAAGTTACTCAATGTTTAATGAAAGTGTAGTTTCTAACATTTTCGAGAACTGTCCCGTTCATTTAATAAATGATTACTGTATGTAACTGCATAACTATCGCTGGTGATATCATTTCAATTGTTTAGAACTATTTAAACCTATCTTCCATGAACATGCTACCCGAGAGCATCCAAAACTGCTGAATGAAAATCATATAAAGTGAAATTTGTGTTTGAAATAAAATCATCAGCGAAAATTGTTGTCTTACATGATATAAACGTTCGCTCAATCGACGTAAAATATCCGAAAATACATGTTACCACACGTACATTGAATACTGAAAAACGGATGAGCTACAAATTCACGAACATGTATAACATCTCTAAAGTAAACAGCCTAGAAACTAATGATCAATAAATGATAATCATTAGTAAATTCAACATAATCCCCAAAATTTAAAGAAATGACATTGATTTGTCTCACATAGTGTATTAAAGTCAAATGATAGGTATAGACTTATCGGTGAGACACCGTTGGAGTACTTTGATTCGGCGTCTAGTCAAAGTGTTGGCTTACATATTCTTGTCTGGGTCAAACAGTTTATGCGCACTGTAATTCGGTTTGTTAATAGAAGTTTCCAAGTCATTTTTAAGTCTTTAACCAACATAGCTGTTTGTGGGTGGGTATCAGAAACACGTGCATCTGAATCGTGAACGCAGTAGAATATAGCATAGGTGTTTAAAATGAACTTTGTTTTTCATTATAATAGTATGTATTTTTCACAATACCATGTATATATAACTTAAAACAACTTCACTTATTTATAATATTGAAAGGAGCTTATTTACAGCATCGTTACAGAGTTATCTCACGAAAAAATTACAGACATTTCATAAAGTTTAGAAGGTCAGAGTTTTGTCTCAATATCAGCGGATTATTTCACTGTATTATTATAGTTCAGTTATGATGTGTATTAGTTCTCAATTAATGGGATGTTACCGGCTTTATAATATTAATGCGCATACTAAAATAACTAAAAATATTTGCTTATTATAATCAGGATTGTAATTATTTGACCTAATAAGCAGTGATGTTTATTTCATAGACGTCAGTCATTTATTAGTAAGTAGTACAGTCGAAAAAACGTATCTACAGGAAAGAATTTGCATTTTCAATTGTGATATTTTTCTCTACTTCAGATAATTGGAATTTCACTTAATTTTGTTCTCCAGCCTATTCATTCAAAAGATGACATCTTATAGTTGTATTAAACGTACAATAGTGTCTGATGAGTACACTAAACTTAAACACGATAATATTCCGCAAATATCGAATTACTCACTTTTAGTGACTTCATCAAATTTTTAGTCCTTCAGAGTTGACCCTGGTTCTCCTAGCTTTACTGTACAAAGGTCTCCGTGGAATATCATCAGACTAAAATAAACAAAATTGTGAACTTAAATAGATAAAATTAGCCAATTTTTTAATGTTATGCAGCTTCATTGTGATATGAAAACTCTGAAACAAGCGAATTAGAGAGTAAAACTTCGCTAGTTTATGGTCATTTAAGGTTTGAACTGTTTAGTGATTTACGGATTTGTCTTTGAGGTGTAGGAACAGATGGTTCAAGTGTACACCAATGATATGTTGAATAAAACTAAATCAGTTCAAATCCATTTACTTTCTAAACAATTCGTAATCCATTACTGTAAATCGATTTGTAATGACTTTACTCAGCTCCAGTAATTTTTATGATATGTAACAGGTTTTTGAATTTATTTTGTATTCGTTGAATAGATTTATACAGTGGTTGTCTATGGTTGTAGTATATCAATAGTTGAAAGTTTGTAATTGAATATTTCTCAGTATTATTTAGGAATGTATGTGTGCAGAAGGTCAGTCAGTCAGTCAGTAACAACGTAGAACTTCGTACGTACGTACATCAGTTCGAGTTGCCACACCACCTTAGCACAGAGATGCAGTTGTCGATTCAAATCCCGTGCAGACGGTGCATTCGAATATTATTAAGATCACGAACTGATCTAAGTTAGATGACCATTATTAACCTGGAAGTACTGAACAACTGTTTCGTATTAGTTTGTGGCTTAGAAGAAGTGTGCATCCACGACCCCATCATTGGGGATTGAACCAAGGACTTTAGGTCTCATGGGGAAACACTTGAGCTTAAGGCCACTGATCTAAGATCCAATTGTGGGC